GTTGTTGTTGTTGTTGTTGTTGTTGTTTTTTCTTGTTCTTGTTCTTGTTCTTGTTCTTGTTCTTGTTCTTGTTCTTGTTCTTGTTCTTGTTCTTGTTCCTTGTTCTTGTTCTTGTTCTTGTTCTTGTTCTTGTTCTTGTTCTTGTTCTTGTTCTTGTTCTTGTTCTTGTTCTTGTTCTTGTTCTTGTTCTTGTTCTTGTTCTTGTTGTTCGTGTTGTTGCTCTGCGAGGCTGATGCTTCATGAAAATGTCACCTCCGTGTATCGCGTGGCGCGGCGCTTATGACCCCACCCCGCCCCCCCCCTCCCCCCCCGCGATACACGTGATTGCGTGGGCGCTTATGACCCCACCCCACCCCAAGACCCCCCTGCCCCCCCCCCCCGCGATACAGTGATTGCGTGATTGCGGCGCACATGATGACCCACCCCACCCACAAGACCCCCCCCCGCGGATACACGTGATGCGTTGACCCCACCCCATCAAGCGCCCACCCCACCCCATGACCCCATGACCCCCCACCCCCCCCCCCCCCCCCCCCCGCGACCCCCCTCCCCCCCCCCCCGCGATACACGTGATTGCGGCGCTCATGACCCCACCCCACCCCAAGACCCCCCTCCCCCCCCCCCCGCGAACCCGCGAGCGTGTGAAATACCATGCAAAATGTGTCGCTTGTGTGACACATGTCTAGGAAGTCCCACGCAGGCCACACGAAATGCAACACACGAAATGCGTCCAAACGCGCGATTACGTAGCGGCGGGGCCCCAAACAAAAGCACGAACAAACGGCCACAAGGAACCCTATAACCCCTAGTAGATCATTAACAAGTTCCCCCCACCCTAAATTTGATATGCGATTTTCATGAATGTGGCAGAGGGGGGCTTCCAAGAGAAAGAAGTCGCAATGTAACTATTTGATTGTGTCAAACGGGGGCTTCCGAGATAATCCGTTTGGCTTCCGTTTGAAGCGAGCCTAAACATTACCCTCAACCCCCCCCCCCCCCCAAATCACACATTTTTTTCTGTTTCCTGCCTGGTAGTAAATTCAGTGTTGTTTCAGTACCACTTTTTTCAACAATCATTGCATGCATTGGTCCTGTGGATTATGGAATGCAACAAGAGCTACGGCAGAAACTGGAGCCCGAATCGGGCTGCGCTTTTTGTGTCCCCCTGGAGGTTCAATTCGCCTAGTAAGTGGGCATCGCCACTTGGTTTTCACACCCTTAGAACAAGGTGAACCCCATTTAGGGGGACTCATGGGTAACCTAGGTTTCCACCCAAGCAGCGCACAAGGACATGCCGACCCCCCTGTTTCGGGGGGGCCTTTCCCGGGTTGGGATTGTCTTTCAAAACGTCAGCTCCGGTCTAGTTGGTGATGTGGCTTGGTGGTTGGGATGTTGGGTCCATTTGGCTTCAAAAAGGAGCTGGGTTTCAAATCCCCGAACTCAGTTCGAGCGCACCCAATCCTCTGCTTCCGCGCGGGAGCTGACTTGGGGGCCGAACAGGGGTCGGTGCATCTCGGTAAAGGCTGTTTGTTTTGTTCGTAGGTTTCCTCATTGGAGCGGCTCAAACCAAAACAAGTCGGAAAACAGGGTTTCATCCAAACAAGCACACAAACGCACGACCCACACAAGCAAACACGCAGAGGGTTTCTACTACGTACCCCGAAACAACTTTCCCTCAAGGGCTCATCTTTTGAGGGTATCCTTCTTGGGTCGGCTTTAAAGGGGAAAACCAAGAGGAAACCCGCCATTTTGTGGGGTCCCCAAGAAAAGACACACAATATAGCACACATAAATACATACATAACCATATATACATACACATGTGTATATATATATATACACACACTACAATATGGATTTTTGTCCAACTTTCCTTGGGCGGTTTGGAAAGCACACCATGCCCTGAGGAGGAGTGCAGCCGCCTGAGGCCCTTGGGCCATTGGGGGGGGGGGGTTAGGTTGCCCCTTGCCGTGAGCCAAGTGGAAACCGCTTAGTGCATGGTTTCAGTGTGACCAAATCGCCGTGCTTTTGTTGGTCCTTTGGGTTTCGCCAGATTGATCTTTCCATAGCACTTTCGGGCACCAGATGGTTTTTTCCATTGGAACCCCTAGCACTTTCGGGTGACTTTCTCAGAGTGCCAGCCAGCCAACAGTTCATGGTGTCCGCGCATCTTGTGAGCGAAGTTTGGCAGCTAGCACCGCGGGATCCCAGCAACATATGACCGAATCCTGGCGTGGTACGGCCTTGCGCGGCCTGTGGATGTTTTCTTGCTTCCCTATTTCTGGACTTTCGTTTGTAGAGTCTGTGCCTTTCCCTCAGGTGGCTTGCCGGCGACGTCCCACCGTAGGAACAGACCAAGTCCCATGTGAGGACATAGTGCAATCCAGAGATTTCTCCATGAATCTGGTTGGCAGACTTACCGGATTTAGTCCAATGGACTAAATTCAGTTCGCACCGGTCGATAGAGGGCTTCTTCCAGTATGCAGAGTTTTTTTTTCTCCTAGGGTTTAAAGTTGGCGACGCCGGTCACTGTCTGAGGCATTTGTTGGTTATCTTAGGCTTCATTGAGCGCTCATCGGATCAACAGCCCAATGAACGTTGCGTCCATTGTTGTGGGCCCATGGTCATTTGTCCTGTACTTGAACCAGGAGTGGCCATACATACCAAGTACACCAGGGAGATGGCCTATGCAATTTCGCAAGCATGCCGCTTCTCTCAGTTGCCCGCAGCCAACCTTTTGACCTTTTGGTATTCAGTCGAGGTTCCTAAAGGTAATCACCTTGCATTTCCTGATGCCAAAGGGTGAGTTTTTAGCGGGTCTCTCCTTCGTGATGCATGGCTCTTGCTTAGTGCCTCGCAACCTCACCGATCGGCTGATTTCATCCGCGGAACAAAATCCCGGCCTTACCCTTTATGGGAACGGATCTTTGGACTTTAACTTTTTGGTTGACACCTTCTCTGTATGGGACCCACAATATGTTTGTATTTCTTGTTTTTTTTGCAGAGGGGTCAGCAGCAACCAAGTACCCTTCGGAAAGATTCTAAGAACCCGACAGGCCCTTCAAACAAGGTGCAACTCCGCCCCCAATTGTCAGCTCTTGCTCATTCTTTTTCAGCTCTTGGATTCCAGTTCTGCCAATCTTTGCTCGTGATTGGCGCTGCGTTTTCCCACTTCCCATGTCCTCATTCCGCTCTTATTCCAGTTCTTAGTCCAATCTAGTTGGTGGCTAGGGCGCCAAGGGGCTGCGGGTATTTAACGCAATTTTTGCTTTGAAAGGGGGAGCCTTTCGGAGCTACCAGATCTGTAAGGACATGGTAGCAATTCTTGTCTCCAGTTCCGTTTGCTCCCAAGTTCACAGCTTTCCGGTTGGATGAATGACACGGCTGTGTGGTTCCTCACTTTGTTTTGGGGGGGGGGAGTGGGGCCGTCCGTTTGGTTTTCAGCACAAGCTGACCAAAACGGATACCCTTGAAGAAAAACACATGACTATGTGCTTTGCCCATAGCATTTTGTTCATGCAACCCCAAAGGATTTGTCTCAAGGATGTTCTTTCAGAGAGGGACCAACTAAGGACCGAGGCTTCCGGGCCTAAATATCAAACCCCGAATCAGATAAAAACAAACATTTGTGTGCAGATGTGGCCCAAAGCGTGTGTTGAGAAAAATGTCCGGGCCGTTCGTTTATTGCCAGGGGCAGCTGGTTGCTGGAGGCAACAGCAGACCAGCGCTTCGTTGAGGTGCAACCACACCCGCTGCCGTGAGTCCCTCCAGAGCTCCGGTGCTCATAGAACTTGTAATAGGCGTTTGTCTATTTTGGTGTATTATACTCGAGCCTATTTTAGCCAATTCCATTCAGCGACTCAACCTCTTGACCGTTTTTTTTCCCCTTTGAAGTCCATTTGAGTCATGGCCCCAAGGTGTTTCTGGGTCCCTTTTTTGATGGGCACAAGGCTGAGTTCATGTGGTCACCGTTCGAGGGATTTCCGAGCCATAACAAGGGCAGCGATGGGAAGTTTAGGGCTGCTGGTGATGCGGCAATTGCTGCTCTGATGCCCATGTGCTGGGAATGCAGGTGATTGGGTGGATGGGTGCGTGGGTGGGTAGGTGGGTGGTGGATGGGTGGATGGGTGAGTGGTGGATGAGTGCGTGGTGGATGGGTGGGTGGGTGTGGGGTTTCCAGGAAGCGTTTGGTTGGGAAGGAGTAGCATGGTACATGGTACTCGCTTGGCAAAGTGTATTCGGAGAAGTCCTAGTTGTAGCCATGGTAATCCCTAGCAACGGGTCACTGGCATGGAAAGACACGGATCGCGGCGTTGTCCTGCTGAAGAAGAGGGCGGCCCTTTGCTCAGGGCCAACGTTGCAGACTCCAAATGGGCATAGCCCAAAATTATTGTAGATGGGTTATACAGGGTCAATCCCCCAAACACTATCCGCATTTGGGGCATGTAAGTTGGCCCTTAGACCATGTGACTAACAAACTTTACAAGTGACATTCTTTGTGTCGAAGGTTCATCCAAAAAGCACCCTGCTAAAGAACTGGCCTAACAGTGTACCAGGCATCCTAGCTTTTTGCCCCAAATTGACGAAACCAAAACAGTGCTCAGCAGGCGTGGACTTCCTGCAAGTCAACCGGCCAGAAACAAAGGTAAATTACAGCGTTTCTCTTGTCCACTTCGTGCAATATTTGGGAATCTTGGCAGTCTTCCCTCGTTCCCTACTCGCACAGTTCGGGGCATTTTGCGAATCTTTCCCTTGCTTCCAATTTGCATCGTTCAGAGCATGTTGCATTGAGAACATGATGGCTGCACTTGATTTTGTGCGGGTTTGCTCCGAGCCTCAGGATCATCAAATAGTGGAAGCTCCCCTGAGACTGGGAGCCATATCTAACTTCTTGTGGTAAGACCTAACCCAACCTTGGACCTCAAAAGCCTGCGCTCTGCGCTTGCTTCCCGCTGGGATATCGCGACGGCCGGCCGCGCGGATCGGTCGCTTCTGGCTGCAGAGGGGTCCTTGGCCCCGGCCCTCCGCGCGCGGCGCGGGGCGCGGGAGCCATGGAGGAACGCGCCAGCGATGGCCCAGCCATCTCGTTGGCGCATCGGCACGTCTTCGGCCTGAGGTGGGAGAGGTTTGTCGGGATGGGGCAGGCTAGTTGGGACATGGTGAGAGTGGGGTGTCGGGTCCACGAAAGTAAGTTTGCCGTTTTTTTGCCCAAAACATGACCACGTTCGGTGGCATAATGCCATGTCTTCTCCAGGTCAGTTTGGATAGCAGGAGGGCCCCAAAAGTTTTAATTCAACTCCAGGGGCCTGGGCCCACTCAACTCCATGTTGTAGACAACCAACCGTGTTGTCTCGGACGAGTGAAAATTCAAGAACTTCCGAACCACCTCTTTGCCATTTGAGTGGGTGGTTCTACTAAGTGGCTTAATTTGGATTATAAGACCTATAAACCTTCCATTTGCTCAAGAATATTTGCTTAATTCCCCTGTTGGTTTTCATGGGAATCTTGTCGCTTTCATTTCGCTTCAAATCCGCTGCAGGGTCTGTCAGAGCCCGTCTGGGATGCCAACGCTTTGGGCGTCTTTGACTCGCTACCGGCTTGCAGTGGCCGCAAGTGGCCAAACTGAAAACTCGAGTCAAACCCACCAAATCTCCAAAAGCATTCAGCAACCAGCTCTCTGAAAATTGAAGTGGTGCTTCTTCAATGCTCTCCAACTTTCTTTAGTACCAGCAACTGGCTTGAAGTAAGGTTAGCGACCCACTGCTGGATGCTTTCAGGGAAGAGGAAGGACATTTTGCAAGGCTCATGGCACACCCCAGATCAAGCTCATCCAACAGCTTGTGGTTTGCAATGCCCGCTAGCGTCCACTTTGCTGGGTCCGCTAATAAAGAAATATGCCTTAAACTCTAGCAAGAAATCACGCTCGCCCTCAGTCCCTTTGATGTGGCAGGAACCTTGGAATATACAGCAAGAAATCAAAGGACCAGCTTCAAGCTAATGTTGTTTCTGGCATCTGCCCCAAAACCTCCCTGGCGGCTATTGCGCTGTTTGTGGAAAAACCACCAAACAAAAAGGCAACACGAGCCACTAGACACCGGAGAACAGTTGAGCAGCGCTCAAAACCCATTGACTTTTGGTTCTACTAGCATGTTTCATTTACCCTTTTGTCCCCCCATCAAAAGAACGGTTGATCCGATTTAGATGAAACTCAGGTAGACTATGGCGGTTATATTCATTGCCAGTCTCAGCTCACGTGTTCTGAGATTTTGCCTTTGAGGTTTTCATGTCTGTTTCCTTTCAAGAAGCAAGGGATGAATCCTATGAGCTTTTGGCTTGCACGGTCCGGCAGGCCCGAGGTGAAGAACAACGTGCACTATGCGGAGGAGACGCAGGTTCTGTACCCTTGCTGTTCTTGTGTTGTTTTTGTGGAGGTTGTGTTTTGCTTGTGTTTGCTTTGCGGGTTTGTTTGCGTTTTGTTTATGACTTTTTCTGTGTTGTTTGTCTGTTGTGTTTTGTTTGGAATTGTCTGTTGAGGTTCACATATTGATACTTGGTTTTGGTTGGATCCGTGCAATGACTGGTTGTAGTGCGTGTTGATCTTTCTGTTGGGTTTGTTCATGTTTGGCGCATAGGCTATCATGTAGGTGGCTGCAAAAGGTGCGTTGCTTTTTTGTTGAAGGTAACTGTTCAACCCTTGCCGCTTACTCAGTGTCATCTTATCGTTTCTTCCACTTTCGGTTGGTTTAGGCTGGCCCAGGATGGTTCAGAAACCAAAAGAGGTTTGCAACTTCGGAATGGCTCGGTGGTATGTTTGGTTTAAGTTTCTGCTCCAGCGAGGGTGTCAAGGATGGGTTTTTGCTCGTTTTGGTGCAACTGTTCGATGATGCAAAAAGGTCATGGCTTTGGACAAAGTCAGCTTCGGGCTTGTCTCGAATCCTCTGATGAGTACGGTCGGTTGCTTTCGGGACCGACTTTCGAACTGAGCCATTCGGTGCCAACTCGGGAATCGAATCGGTACAAGTTGGTGAGTTGGATCGATCCCCGGCCGTTGAAATTAGGAGCCTTTCAATATCCCCAGTGTCAAACGGCGGCTTCTTTGGCGGCAAAAACGGCGTCAGCTTCATGACAGCCGACTCAACACGACCGATACAAACCCGTTGATGGCTGTTGACTCAATTGAGTCAAGTCAAGAGACCAATCGAAACGGGGCACTCTTCAAGACCACTCCAAATGACCCAACGTGGAAAACAAAACAACAAGGTTTCCACTCAAACAGACAAGCCAATCCAAAACACTGACCAAGACAGAGAAAGGTCCATGTCAACAGATAAACTCAACCCAAACAAATGGCCAAGGAGCGATGGTTTCCATTTAAAGAACTGAGCCACCCGATTCGTTTTGCCGAAAGGAACCCCGTCGTTCTTGAGGTACCCAGCGGGGACCAATGCAGTCCTCTGGCAAGCGGACCAGAAGCAGCAGAAGAT